TGTGTCGTCTATATCACATATAAAATATAGGTACACATTGTTTTTTCAATAGAACCTAAAATATTTATATTGATTGTGACAGACACTTAATTCATTGCAAATTTTCACTTAATTTCTTGAAATATATTTCATATACCTTATTGCAGTGGTTAGAATTTATTAAAACTGTCCACATTTGATAATTTATACTGTATGATATAAAAAAAAATCCTACCTTAGGAAAAAAATCTATCTTACATATAAGAACAGGGTGTGATTTATATATCCGAGGTTTCACAGTAAAGGTCTTTCTGTCAATCAACACAGCCACAGTTTTATCAGATCAGGAGAGTTGAACTCTAGCTGTGGATGGACATAGAGCACAAGTTATCTGTATGTTTTGGCTTTTTGTCCCAGTATCTGATAGAGATCTCATTTCTATCACCTTTCCTGTGGGAATAATTCAAGTTGATCATGTTTAACAGCTGAAACCTTTTACACTTGGAAAATTTTACTATAAATTTTATGCATTGTATCGTAAATCAGATTAAATGATGCCTTAAAAAATCATCAATTTTTTTTCTAGCCTATAGAATATTTCTGTTGAATGGTATAAAATTCAGTGTTCCCTTATTTTAACAGTGAAAATGTATTTCAAGTGGATTTTAAAATGTAAATATGTTGTTATACTGTATGATGTACTCCTTTTTTTTTTTTTATTAAATACTTACTATCAAATTTATAGTAGAGAATAGTAATCTGAGTTGTGTCCCTTTATTTTATAATTGTGTTTTAAGTCTTTATCCAGGGTTTTCCATAATTTTGTTAGTAGTAGGCTGTGTAGTGAAAGTAGGAGGCTGGCCTGCCGTGTACATGTAGTCTTGTATGGAACATTATTACAGATCTGGATTGGTGTAGGCGGCCAAATGATCAAAGTAGCCGGTCAAATTGGCCAGCGACCGGCTCTTATGGAAAACCCTGTTTATCACATTGCATCTGAAACCTTCCTTTCATTTTAATTATTCATTGATATGTTATCGCATATACTGTAAAATCCTTCATTTTTGAGAGACATTTATTTTTGATATTCACGAAATCAAATGTCCCAGATATAGTGATTTTTTTTTAAAAAACACACACAAAAAATATAGGACTTCACAGTACCTTTCCTCAGTAAATATTTATAGCTAAAAAGCATCTAAACAAGATGGTAGAATGTCAGACTGAACATGTACCCAGATATATAATAGAGTTATTGCCCTTTGATCAGATTACAGTACATTGTGAATGGCTTATCCCATATTACTAGTATCTCTTACAATTTTCAAACTTAAGTCTGGTGTTAGCAGTGCATCACATTAAAGTATGACATGCTACTAATTATACATACAGAGTTGTAGCCCTTTGTTCATACCAAAGTTTGGCTAGAGGTTAAGGAATTTTGGTTGATTACAATAATTTTCTTTGTAAACATATGTTCCAGTAAACAACTCTGACAGTGTTTGGTTGGTTTTAAATTTTAAATCAGATCAAGAATATTGTCAATTTCATAATAATATATATTTATATATTTGAGATTAGCATATGATTGTTTTTCTGTCTTTTTTATTGAAGTGAATGGCAACATGCTTTATCATGCTCTGTCCTTTATCTAGACTGAATGCTTGAATTACAGCTTCATGTTTTCATAAGATTTGTGTAATGTAAGGTACATTTCTGATAGTGGGAGTGTATGAAGACTATTATTGGGCCTATTATGTATTTGGTAGATAAAGAATCTGACATGCTTCAATATGCCATGCATACATGAATGTTGTAATGAAAATCTACACTGATATGGTGGCTGTTTATATTAATTATACAGTTAGAGTACATATTTCTATTATCTACGCACAGCATAGATAATTTTGGAGACAAAATGGTATGGATAACAATCAATATTTTATGGAAAACTAATAACTTTCAATATCAAAGGATTCTTTCGATGAATTTCCCATAAATATTTAATAGTATCACAAGGAGTGGACGCATAAAGTTGTGCTTAGTCACTAAGTGCATCACTTCTTTGGAGTGCTATGTCATAAACCTGGTGAAATGTGTTTGTCCAGAAGTTTCCTGGTATTATTTCGAACCACACACATTCTGTATTCTTTCCAACAGAGAAGTAGCTTTTGACTTGCATTCATCACTTTGACTTGTGGCATATAACTTCATAATTTTCTTCAGTAACTGATTTTGAATATCAAATCCAGGAATCTTGTTTAGTAACATTCTATGCAGAGTTATAGCCCTTTGTGAGCACCATGACATAGTTTTGAGTTTTCTTTACACAGAGTTATAGCCCTTGAATTTGTTCACATCTTCCAGGGCAACTTTCGCATCATTGTAATTACCAACAATTGCAATTGATTTTTTATTTGAACATTTGCAGACTGAAATTTTGTCTTTTGGTTGACTAAGAAGCAGGTCCCCTGCAGATTGTTGGTCTTTTTGCATATGGCGGTACTAAAAATTTAAATTCTTCTCATGACCTAAAGCCTTAGAGGCATTATATTTGACTGGTATGTTCTCAGGATGAAGTCTGACAAAGTTTGCGAAAAAAATTAACTTGACTTATATTCAAGGTCACAGAGGTCAAATTTGTTAAAACCTTTAAACATCTTCTTTTCATAGACTAAAAGGCCTGGAAGCATGATATTTGGTTGGTATATATATATATATATACCAGGTGAGTGCTGCAGGCCCATTGGGCCTCTTGTCTAGTTTATATCGTCTATATTATTCTATTTGCTTGCTCATGATTTTTTGCCCTGAAGTTTCCTTATTATGTTGGTTACATCTGTGATATTAGTTATTGCGTGAAAGAGATGCTTTTTAATTTCCTGCTACAAATCCTAGAAGCCTGTATGTAAGCAAATGGTAAACGTAATCAATATTTCTTACTTAATGAATGATAAGTGTCAAGCTACTTATCACAGCTTGATATATTTGATCTCGAGAAACTAATCTTTGTAAAAGAGAAATCATAAGGAGCCAGGCTGATATTTTATTTTGTTCATGTTGAGATGAACACTTTTTGAGGAATAGACTTTTCTGGCATCACGATCAATACTGTGGTCTGTTTAAAAACCTCACTTATCTATACATTTAGGGACTAATGTCATCAGTCATGTAGCATTCATTGAAATATTTCTGGAATGTTTGGAAAGAGCAAACAATACATATATTGTACATGGATTTTCATTATTTACACTTCCTGGGACTGTATTAATGGTAGAAGAATGACAGTACTGTTTGTATATCAGCTGTATTATAAGATACATGTCATTTAGTTTAGGGTCAGAATTCAGTCAGGCATTAAGCATTTATGACGTAAACAAACACTGATTGTTAGTTATTACAGCTGTGTAAAAGTTTTATATCAATTGTATTCAGCGAGTATAAAAAATACTCCATTAAAAAATTGATACCAGAATATTGTAGCAGATTTGTAACATAAAAATGTATTGACTATACAGGCCCATGTATTGACCTATATATTGACTACTCATGTATTGACCTATATACTAGCTCATGCATTGACCTATATACTAGCTCATGCATTGACCTATATACTAGCCTATTTGTTGTCCTATATACTGACCCATGTATTTACCTATATAAAGATTTGGGTATTGACCTATCTATCAACTCATGAATTAACCTTTATACTGGTCTATGTGTTGACCTACATAATGACCCATGTATTGACCTATATATTGAAACTTATAATGACCTATATATAGACCCATGTTGTGACCTACATACTCACTCATGTATTGATCAGTCCATGTATTGACCTTTATCCTGACTTATCTATAGACATATGTAAAGTATGATATACTTACTTATATACCGACCCACATACATGTATTGATCTTTGTAAAGAACTATGTATTGACCTATATACTGACATAGGTATTGATTTAGACCTATATATTTGACCAATATATAGACCTGTGTAATTGTAACTACAATCCGTACTGGTTTATGGGGGTCGTGAAATATCATAGAACTCTCCTAGCTGTTTCGTCTGTCATACTTCAGTCAATCAATGGAAATCTTGTAGAACAAAATAGTTGAGTTTAAACCATTACAGACATGCCGCTCGTTTCCATACTTAACACTGTCATTTCACTTGATAAACATTTGTCATTTCCAGCATCTGTGTCCCAGTTCCTGTGTAATGTAACAATATCATGTCAAGATTGTTTTTTCATGTCAATACAATGTGATGTTATGTGAGTGACTGATTTGGTAGAAGAAAAAAATTAGCATTTTGATGGGCTTTCATGTCCCCGGGAAAGGAGACGGGGAAACCATAATGTAGTGAACGGATGCTTGGCAGTTATTGGTAATTGATACTAAGTAAATTATGTATAGAAATGTTACTAAATGGATACTTGTCATGCGTATATTAAAATTAAATGATAGAAAATGAGAATTTTGGAGATTTAACATTAGAATCGGCACATCATTTATTTTATAATTTCAATCTGAATAAGTTTGTTTAATGTGTTCTATTTTTTTATGTCTACACTTAAAGAAAATGGTGTTCTTGTCACCATAACTAATGCTGTGTTTCAGAAAATCTATTGATGAAAAATGGAATATGTAATTTTTCCACAGTGGGTATTAAGACAATACTGAATGGAAGTAAACTTCTGGAAATAGTAATAACACACTGAAGAATTGTCTTGTTATTCGGAATAGTGTATACAATTACCGTAGATATTTTACAATTCCATTTTCATTTGAAACATTTGAAAATCAATTTCCTGAATCTCTATATGTTTTGAAGGAAGTTTGTTCCCAGCAGATTTTATCGTAAATCATGTGTTTTTCCATATATAGAAATAATCGCGGCAGGAAACAAAATTGGTCTAATTGTAGTGCTTTTAGGAACCTTATTTAGCTGTGTACATCATTATCCGACAACATTGAAATTACGGGAAAAAGACAATGACGGAAACAAAATCACAGAACATTCATTGCTTTTATTTCACGGACAGAAACAAAACAATGATTAAGGGAAAAACTTAGCAACAACATTTACAAGCCTGTCTCTGACATCCTCTCACACAGCAGCTTCACTGTTCATTTTTCTTCACTGACACACAGGTCACGAGTAACCAATTTGGCAACACAAGACAAATGACTGAAGACTGAGGTACAACATATGAGAGATATTTGTAACAATCAGACTAAGATTAGGCATGTAATATAAAACTCATTTTGACAAAGCTGCGTCACCATTCGCTCTTCTCAGACAGAGAAATGAGTGTTTTTATTGTTTTGTACAATTATTATACAACTTGAACTTTTGCAATTTGTTAATTTCAACAAGTCTATTTGTTGTTTTTGAACATTTCCAAAAGAATACCACTAACAACTATTTCAACCCTAGCTCTTAGAACTGGCATAAAAATAGCACAAGGATTGTAAGTAGTTTTAGTGTTGTCTGAAATTCTACACAGAAATTTAATGTTTGATAATGTTATAAAAAGCTGACATTGTGAAAGGACATTATTTTTTTTAATGTCATTTAACGGGTATTCTGTGATCACTTAAAATAGCTAGCATTAAATGCTGATAAAAGTGTCATCTATAGAGGCCATCCAAAATCAACAGAATGAGTATGTGTTAAACTCCCTGGGTTGTTATAAGACAATACTTCAAATAAGGTCTTAACATGGCAAGATAATGATTGATATCAGCTCTAGATATCTTAGGGTTGTACATGATATCAGCTTTAGATATCTGAGGGTTGTACATGATATCAGCTTTAGATATCTGAGGGTTTAACAGGATATCAGCTCTAGATATCAGAGGGTTGAACAGGATACAGCTCTTGATATCTGAGGGTTGAACATGATATCAGCTTTAAATGTCTGAGGGTTGAACATGATATCAGCTTTAGATATCTTCAGGTTGAACATGATATCAGCTTTAGATATCTTTGGGTTTAACATGATATCAGCTCTAGATATCAGAGGGTTGAACATGATATCAGCTCTAGATATCTGAGGGTTGTACATGATATCATCTCTAGATATCTGAGAGTTGAACATGATATCAGCTCTAGATATCTGAGGGTTGAACATGATATCAGCTCTAGATATCTGAGGTTGAACATGATATTAGCTTTAGATATCTTTGGGTTTAACATGATATCAGCTCTAGATATCAGAGGGTTGAACAGGATACAGCTCTTGATATCTGAGGGTTGAACATGATATCAGCTTTAAATGTCTGAGGGTTGAACATGATATCAGCTTTAGATATCTTCAGGTTGAACATGATATCAGCTTTAGATATCTTTGGGTTTAACATGATATCAGCTCTAGATATCAGAGGGTTGAACATGATATCAGCTCTAGATATCTGAGGGTTGTACATGATATCATCTCTAGATATCTGAGAGTTGAACATGATATCAGCTCTAGATATCTGAGGGTTGAACATGATATCAGCTCTAGATATCTGAGGTTGAACATGATATCAGCTTTAGATATCTTTGGGTTTAACATGATATCAGCTCTAGATATCAGAGGGTTGAACATGATATCAGCTCTAGATATCTGAGGGTTGAACATGATATCAGCTCTAGATATCTGAGGGTTGAACATGATATCAGCTCTAGATATCTGAGGGTTGAACATGATATCAGCTCTAGATATCTGAAGGTTTAACAGGATATCAGCTCTAGATATCTGAGGGTTTAACAGGATATCAGCTCTAGATATCAGAGGGTTTAACAGGATATCAGCTCTAGATATCTGAGGGTTGAACATGATATCAGCTCTAGATATCTGAGGGTTGAACATGATATCAGCTCTAGATATCTGAAGGTTTAACAGGATATCAGCTCTAGATATCTGAGGGTTTAACAGGATATCAGCTCTAGATATCAGAGGGTTTAACAGGATATCAGCTCTAGATATCAGAGAGTTTAACAGGATATCAGCTCTAGATATCTGAGGGTTGAACATGATATCAACTTTGAATATCTGAGGGTTGTACATGATATCAGCTCTAGATATCTGAGGGTTGAACATGATATCAGCTCTAGATATCTGAAGGTTTAACAGGATATCAGCTCTAGATATCTGAGGGTTTAACAGGATATCAGCTCTAGATATCAGAGGGTTGAACATGATATCAACTTTGAATATCTGAGGGTTGAACATGATATCAGCTTTAAATATCAGAGGGTTGAACAGGATACAGCTCTTGATATCTGAGGGTTGAACGTGATATCAGCTTTAAATATCTTCAGGTTTAACATGATATCAGCTTTGAATATCTGAGGGTTGAACATGATATCAGCTTTAGATATCTTCATGTTGAACATGATATCAGCTTTAAATATCTTTTGGTTTAACATGATATCAGCTCTAGATATCAGAGGGTTGAACAGGATATCAACTCTAGATATCTGAGGGTTGTACATGATATCAGCTTTAAATATCTGAGGGTTGAACATGATATCAGCTCTAGATATCTGAGGGTTGTACATGATATCAGCTCTAGATATCTGAGGGTTGTACATGATATCAGCTCTAGATATCTGAGGGTTGAACATGAAATCAGCTCTAGATATCTGAGGTTGAACATGATATCAGCTCTAGATATCTGAGGGTTGAACATGATATCAGCTCTAGATATCTGAGGGTTGAACATGATATCAACTCTAGATATCTGAGGGTTGTACATGATATCAGCTCTAGATATCTGAGGGTTGAACATGATATCAGCTCTAGATATCTGAAGGTTTAACATGATATCAGCTCTAGATATCTGAGGGTTGAACATGAAATCAGCTCTAGATATCTGAGGGTTGAACATGACATCCTCTTTATTATAATGATAAAAACCTTCCCTACCAATCCTTTAATTCCGAGTACCAATCCGATGTTAAGTCCAAAATGATTGAAATATTCTGAAAAACCTTTCTTGAAAACCAACCTGATCTCAACGATAAAGACTGGAGTTCCGACCAGTGGACCGTGAAATCAACACCTGTAGTGACACTTGTAAGCTTTTGGCCTGTCACAGGTGGGCTTTGTACACAAGGCCTACCCTGATCGAAGGGAATATAAAATTAACATATGCTATAGATATCGCAAATGACAATTTGAAACCTATCAAACGAGTCCATTTCATCGAAGTGAGAAACTGCTGTGGTTAAAGTGAAAATAAGTACCGATACAGAGTTCAGTTCTATGAGAGGCTGGTTCGGTCAACTTGCTTCACTTCTACAAATCAATTCCTCCCTAAACTGGCCAAATATTCATGTCTCGTGCATGGTCAGTTGAGAGAAGTCTCACTGATTTCATGGTCCTTCAATAAATTAGCTGATCATTCAATCAAAAATTCAGTGATTCTTTAGTTTACTGTAGGTTAGTGAAGGGAACAGCATTACTATATCAAATACTGTAACAGTGTACAAACACATGATAAAAACATTTTCAACTTTCTAGGGCTATAGAAGTTGAAATAGTATAAAAGGAATTTCAAATTTGCTTTGACAAAAAAAATTAAGAAATTCAAATACGGTAGTTTCTGTATTAAACCTACACAGTACCTAAATCTAAAATCTTTTGATTATCATGCAAGTTAAAGAAATTATCAGTATATTTGAGAAAATTTGAAATCTTTTTAAAAGGATCAATAATATGAAGAGAAAGTTTATAACGTTTTCTGAGAATACCATCAACATGAACGAACGCTTTAAATCTATACATATCAGTCTTTACACTTGTGAGCATTCATAAACATACATTCTTTCTGATAAAATATCCTCAGCATCATATCACACCTGTCTATATTTACCTATAACTCGTTAGTCTGTATACTTATATATAGCACAAATGTACTTTTTATCACATTTCTGTTCTGTCTCACCAATGTTTTAAGAGCTAGATACAGTAAAATTTATCTAAAATTAAAATATTTTAGAAACACATACATTACCTGTTCTCCCATTGTATAACGATATAATTGATGGTTCTAAGTTACAAGATTCTTTAACAACTATTCATATCACATCAGTAGTTCTTTTTCTTGATCGTCGTTGTCTGTATCACACCTGTAAAACTGATATATTTTTTGTACCTATATTGTCTCGTCTGTATCACACCTGCAATTACCTGTCCATGTAGACATCGCGTCTCTAGTTTCATACAGGTGTGCCCGAGGTGGTGGTTGGTCCTCGATGTAAAGGACTTTTCTCACAGTCCCCCATAATAAGACGACGATACGCTGTCCGGAAGTTGTTGTCCATAACAGTATACACGACAGGATTGAGGCAATATGACAACCATCCAAGCATTGTCGTCCACAGGTGATGAACCGGTTTGGAAAAGCTACGATCATACACATTCATTATAAAGTATGGAAAAGTTCCGAAGAAAAATATGGCAAAAATACACATCATCATGGCCGAGAGACGGAGGGCTTTAGTCATGGCTGACGTTCCTTTCCACTGGCCGACACGTTTTGAACTTCCATACGCTACACATCCAATTCTAGCATAACAAAATACTATGAAAAGACATGGCACAATAAATCCCAGTGTTACAGTTACGATTCTATTGGAATGATCAACATTGAAATTGTTAAATGTACATGCTAAAACGGCAGGCTGGAAACGAAATGACCCCCAAATTCCGAACGAGGGTGGGACCGTGAACATCAGGGGTAACACCCAGCTGACTATAAGAGTTATAATGAGAGGGCGAGTGTTCGAAGCTTTCTTGTACTGTCCTAGATGTACAATATTTAGGTAACGATACAGTGCAATTACACTTAGATGTACCATGATAACCCCAACAAGTGTGTAGCGGATACCGCCAGCGGCACTACAGAAGTCGGGTGGAATGAGATGGGGGTCCTGAAGGTGAAACACAACTGCTTGAAGTGGCAGAATTAGGAGGCAATACAAAAATCCAGCGAAACTGAGGCTCCCGATGAGGACACAGTTGATGTTGTTACAGAGACTACTGGAACATATCGCCAAAACGGTGATGAGATTTCCGAAGCTCCCTATAGCACACAATAAAATAACTACCACCTCCAGCACAATCAGAGTCTCGCGCTGGTCACACCACCATTCAACGCAGGATGAATTTCCTGACATATTCATTGTAATATTAATCATAAATTGAAAATATTGATAAAGTTTTGTACTATGTATCTATTTGGGAAACTTCCATAATCATGAAAATTCCACACAAACAATTTTGGTGATTTCTGTGATTCCTAGTAAATTTGATCCGTCCAAATGTGCACATTCTAGAGATTGGTTCGTTCATCCACTCTCACCTCTTTCACATTTTGAGGTTGATATCATTACTCCTTCTTCTGATTATAAATGGATTCAGTTGAAGCTTGAAATTTCCAATCAATTTCTTGTTTTAAATTACTGAATTTGTATGAGAAAGCTCCCTGAGAACAGGTCCATTTCCTTGAGCATCAGTTGTAAATTTGATTTCAAGAGATCGTTTTGATTACTCTTGCCTTTTAGAATCCACAGTCATGGAATGTGGTCCAGTTCCTTATCGCACTGTTTTATACGCTCTTTCTGGCTGTTTGGTCTTGACGGTAATTGTCACTTTCACTGTCCAGCTGAGGATGAAATTAAAGAAAATGTTTCAAATTGTTATTCTAGAGAATAAATGCATATGTTATATATATATATATATATGTAATTACTTAACCCAGTTTGCTGTCTGTCCTGGGAGCCCAAACCCGCGATAAAGAATCTGGGAATTGTTTGTACGGAAATGTCTTTATATTCTGAAGGTCTTCCTATCATTACTGAAAACATGAATTATGGATCCCAACAAACCCATTCGCCTGCAAATAAACACGAATTGTGATTGTAGGAGTCCTATTGATTATAAACAATTCACTTTATCGCGGAAGCGTGACTTGTGAAGCTGGTCATGTGTAAAAGTGGCTGATAAAGCGGAGACACCAGCTTAGAAGCATAATACAATACTTCGTAGCATTGTGTCTATTCTCATCAAATAATCAATTTACAATTAATTCAAAGCAGCGTTCAAAATACCCTTTGTGTGATGTTTCTATTGTCCACTTAGTTAGTATTTGTTCTGAAAGTTAATTAAATTAGTTTTTTGAGAGATTCTTCTAAAGTCATTATCACTTGAGCTGAGAGTGATCCACTCGATCAATCTAAAAATCATTTACGTTTCTTGATTAATACATAAGAAATCGATGTCCATAAATCGTATTAAGCACTCCCAAAAGTCGTTACTGTGATAAGTTGACAGTATAATAGAGGTTGTCTATCTAATGAGTCCAAATATGGTCGTTATATGAAAGATATGCCTCTGAAACTACTGTAATTAATTTCTTGTCTTTCACATTCGTGCACAAAAGTAACAAGTTGTACGGTATTAGCAGAATATCTGTATGATCCTTATAATCACCTTTGTATCGTAAAATATCTTCCCGGACTTCTTCTAAGCTGTTAGTTCACTAATTCGTCGTCATCAACAGCAGCTCATCTTGTACCTGAAAGTATAAATAGGATACTTAATACGATGGTATGCTAGTAAATTTAGAAAGTATTTGGGATTAGCTTTGCCCATAATGGACACACTTCATGCTTCATGAAAAACTAATTTCCTCAGAAATTCGGAATTCGGTGATGGTTACCATATCTTGTGAAGTTTATAACAGTAAAGACGGAGTGAGACAGATAAGAATTGGAGCTGTAGATTTCTATGCTTGTCAGTTAGGGTGGCTTGGAAAAGAAGGCTTGTCAATCAATTTTTCTCGAAGGCCCCTCACAGCAGCTTAGAAAGATCTACCAAACAAGCCACTTCTGTGTAGAGATCGGCAGCTTGGTGACAGAATCGTCTCATAAGTGTCCTTATAAGGGTTGCAAGTATCGGCAGAGCGCCGTGTCTGCTTGTATACACCAATACCAGAGAGTGGCTTACTTGAGATCTAAAGCCAATGTAATACCGTTGTGTTAGTGTTGGTGACGTTGTGTGTGATTGATTGCAGACTATCTTAATAAGTTATACGTAGATAATGATGCACTCTGACAAGATCACTGTAATCCTTATCTTTAAGTACATGTTACCTATCAGAATAGCGGTCCTTATTTTAGACTCAAAAAACATTTGTAGTAAGATGACAGCTATTACTTAAACATTGATCTCTCTGAATTAACAATTAGAAATTCACTTAGGGTTTGGCATTCCACAGACAGATATTTGTAATCATGGCTCTCTTTGCTTTAAACTTAATCAGTGATGTTATCAGAAATCTTTATGTTATTGTTATATAGCAGCATTGTGGATATTGTTAATATCTGAGGAACTTTTACTGTACTAATTAAGAAAACTTTCAACACTGATGAAAACTTTTAGTTAGAAACCCTTGGCATAAATATGACAAAATATTAGTGTGAAATGCTGTGTTTTATGATATAGTATTGATGTAACTAAGTCAACCATTACATTTCTAATGATGAGGTGATTAAACTTCATCTAGAAGGTAAGATACGGCTAAAACGACATAAAATTTCAAGATTCTGCCTTGTCATACCGGTAGGTAAAAATTCTGCAAAATTCCGTTTTTCAATGTTATGCCCCTCCATTTTATTGAGAAGTTGCAGGATCTAAGGTCAAGGTCACAATTACTCTAATTATAGAAATTCATCAAACATTGATACTTATTTGCAAGAGAGTTGGAAGGGGGATTGTGGTGGGAGGGGGATGAGGGTGGGGGTGGAGTTGTAATGAGTTCAGGATGCTGGGATGTCCATTGAAGAGCCGAAGTAAGTCCTGCGGAATTTGATTGATAGTGAATGATTGGTTTCTCGTCAATGTAACCGAGTTTTAATGAGTCATAAAGTACGTAATTAAGAATCGGGAGTAGTTCTGTCTCTATATGACAATAATTCTATTATGTTTCAAAGAAAAATGGCATGTGTGCCTCGCTCTGTAAGAGTACATCTTGTTGAGTTGAATTACTAATCATTTATCAACTGTCAAATTCAGAGCTACCAATTACAAGGCTTTTACGCAGGGGGTCCCACGGAAATATCCTGATTCTATTTCTTTGAGCCAATTAGAGTGAGAGAAATAAAAGCACTACATCCATGGCATCTGAAAAAGTAATGCTAGTTCAAGGTTTCTTGGTTTTTTTTGCAGTTTTATGACCAATATTACCAATATTACAGTTTGAAATTCTTTTACAAAGAATGATAATTTTATCCAGTGCTAAATCAGTAGAAATAACATTTTTCTTTGAAAGGCCAGAGTCAGTCATTTTGAAGCACTTCAAACTTTCTGTTTGCAACCTTGAATATTTGGTCATGTGGGCTACGTGACGTAGGTATTGTAGCTGTAACAGACAGTGATATCAGTACACAGTTAAGTGTGGTGACAGTTACGATAACAGAACATTATATTATCTACTTGGCTGTCTTACATTGTGTGGGTCCCAGTAGAGAGTTTATGGACCAGATCATTTATTGATTAAAATCTGTCATCAATCAATAACTGTGTAGGTATTATTGATTTATAGATTTTTATTGTGCTCTTCGTCATTCTGATCAGTTAAGTGGTAATTAAGGTATACAGTAAGAGATAAGTTTCAGTGCCTATTACGTAATTTACAAATATTGACCATCAATGCTTATCTTAACGAAGGCTTGAGAAGCTTGTAGCTCACTTAATGTATTAGATATTGAGAACAAGTCTGAAAGTAACTTTCTCAACTTTGGGAAGCATTTCTGGTATATTAATGCAAATTTAGATTATGAATGAATATATGAAACGTTAAGGTCACAAATTAAAGAGTGAATCAGACTCATTAAATAGTATACTAAACATCTGTGTATTACCATGTCACTGGACAGTCGATTGCAGTAGGAATAGAATTACACATTGAGTAGTTGTGGTATATGGTGATTTTTTTTATTTTTTGACTTTTCAAAAGTTAAGCCAAAAAAAAAAAAAAAAATTAAATGGATAAACGAATTAAAAAAAAAAAAAAAAAACCCCTGTTAAGAAATTGACTTTATTGAGTACTTTTGTAACTTTTTGAAAATAACTCAAAAGCGAACGAATTATCATATATAAGAATTACAAATTTGTTTGACTTTTATCACATTATCACTATTCTGATGTTGAATTGACCTGTTCTGTACCTTATTGCACATTCTAATTTTTGTCAGTGCATGAAGCGTTCTTTCGGTCAAAGTTCACCCTGTCAGCCAATCAAAACATGCTAAACGTGGTATAACATGCATATTTATACAACAGTTTCAGTGATTAGTTGAAGACTTTGAAGTTGGATAACACTCACTATTTGTTTATAGTATAGGTTTAATGAGTAGAAGGAAGTGATGTATCATTAGATTTTATAATAAGGTGCCACTTATCAAAATGTGGCAGTATATAACAAGATATTTTCAGACATTTGACAAATAGTGACAAGGTAATCAAGTTTTACTTGTACAATTTAATTGTACCAGTGTCACAAAATTTGTCTGGAAAAATTGGGGATCATTATCAGGTGTTACTGACCATGTGTAGGATTTTTATCACAACTTCACACTGACCACCTGTCCATCTATAAGTAATTATATCCCAGAATACATCTGTCAATAGGTATACAGATTATAACAGATATAACTTAAACTTCCGTTGTGAAAGTCTGTGAGTATCTCAACAAGTGGAAATCCTGGGAATCATTATATATCTATAACCCTGCAGTCATCAGTATCAAACATTAAACACTGCAGCTGTTGCTCTGATTCCGCAGTTCCGTAGACATCAGCTCGGGCCAGGAAACCACTGACACAAAAATCTATGGGTAAAAGTTCAAGAACACGTATGACTCTAAACCCTTTCTCCTGCCATCCATTTCCAACTTTTAAAAACGGTTTTATCAATACAGAGAAAAGAGAACTTTATGATAGATTAAGACTGATTGGACAGTGAATCTACATTTATTTACGAAAGAAAAGCTGTTTCGTTTCATGTGTGGCTTTGATCCTCTCTAACCTTTTGTAACTTTATAACGATTTTCTAGTACTCCCAGATGTATGAATGGGCACCTGCATCTAATTGGATGTTATTAATTTTGTATGTGCCTTAATAATGTTTAATTTTACTGCCCTCATATTTTTTCCATTTAGCTTCAATAGAACATCCCCAAATTCATTTGAAACAAAAACTTAAGTGCTTCAGCTTTTAAAATCAAGCCTCCCCTTTCTAATTATTTTGAAGTATTTGACACAAAATGTATTGAGAAGGCAGTAATATGTGTTTAAGATATATTTAAGACTACATGTAGATCTTATTTTTCTTCATATCTGCTTTGGGAGTCTTCTGTCCATCTTTGGTATTCAGGAATGGATAAAATGTGATGTATATTGTGGTAATTTTTGCAAATTTACATTACCAGACAAGTCTGAAGGTGTCCATCTACAGATATCAGAAACTTCAAGAGATTTTTTAGATAACCACATTTTCCCAGGAAATCCTTCTCATTGGTTATTACTGTCAGGGTAATTGTAGCTCTTTTCATAACAGGAACAGACTTTGGGAAACATTGCAGTGAATATTCTATGTAACATTTGTAGTGGAGGTCAGGAGTTCGGGGAAAATTACACATTATTGGTCTGATCAATAGTCATATTACGCTGGAAATGGAGGCTTCCTGTAATGATCAGAGACCAACAGGATGTCTTGTAGAGAATGGTGAATTGGTAGTCAAATGGAATGCTTAATACATAGATTGTCACTTCATTATCTTAAACGACTCCTCCTATTTCATCAAACACATACAATTGAATTAGGGGCAAAAGGAAGTGGATTTAATTTTATAAATCTGAGACATTTGAACTTTTGAGTCATGGGCTTATATGATGTCTATTTAGATGGATCTACTGAATGCCCTTTGTAAATTGTGTAAACATTTCCACTTGTTTTAAGAAATACCATTGTAAAATACATCAAATACCAGATTGAACTTTATTGATAATTAAGTTATGAAAAATGTTTAAAAATGACAAAATTTAGAGTTTTTGTCAGTTTGTCTGAGAAAAACTGGTGTATCTGGGAGTTCTATGATGTGTTCACTGATTACTGAAGAATGAAACTTCATGAATAAATGGCATTTCTCATTCCTTCTTCTCCCTTCACCCTTTATCATAGACCCAGACATTTCATAAATAAACATGAAAGCAGCAAAAGACTCTGCAATGGTGTTGAAAAAGAAATGTAATTTTTCAATTTTCAAAAAATTGAAATTGAATAAATTTCAATATTTCAAGTGTTTCACGAGACCTGCTATGGTGTAAAGCAAGAAATGTGATTTTTTAAGTCTCAAAAAATTGAAATTGAATAAATTTCCTTATTTCAATTGTTGTATGAGGCCTGCAAGGGTATAAATATTAAATTGGAATTTTTCAATTTTCAAAAAATAGAATTGAAATTAATCCTAATAAACATTTTTTAATTCCATCTCAGCATGGAGTCAGATTATAA